TATTCTTTATCCCTGCCTTGGTAATCTCATTTAATCTCACAACTTCAAATACCACCCGTGTGCTGGTCACTCCCAAATGTCTATCTCAGATCAGTCCTCTCTCCCAAACTGCACGCCCATATATCCAACTGCCTATCCAACATCTCTGACTATCCAATAGACATGCCAAACTCATCATATATGACACTGAACTCCTGATCTTACCCGCAAACCTACTCTACTTGATAAAGATTTTCCCCATCTCAACTGATAGCAACACCAGTTGCTCAGGCAAAAAACATCCCTCCTTACGCCCTCCTTCGTTCTGTCTGGAAATCTTGTTGGCTCTGCTTTCAAAATATACCTAGACCCTGACTGCTTCTCACCCTTCTGATACAGCCATCCTGGTTTGAGCCATCAACATTTCTTGTCTGGATTACTGCAACAGCCTCTTAACTGGTCTTCGTGTTTCTGTCCTTGCCCTGGTATGATCTTTCCTAACACAGCTGCTGAAGAGGTCCCTTTAAAATGTGAGTCAGATCATGTCACGCATCTCTAACAGCTTCCTCCAGTAGCTTCCTGGTTTACCAGAGCAAAAGTCACAGTCCTTGCAGTGGCCTGTGGTGCTCTATAAGGATCTGTCCCTCCTCGTTATCTCTCCAACCTCCCCTACCACTGTCTACTTCACTCCTTTTCAGCCACCGGCCTTCTTGCCTTTCTCCAAATAAGCCAGGCACTTTTCTGTCTTATGATCTTTGCTCTCACTTTTTACCTGCCTGGAATAAATACTCATTACCCCCGACTCCCGCACCTCCTTCAAGTCTTTGCTAACACATCTCCTTCTCAATGAGGTCTACACTGACCACCCTGTTTCATACTATAACCACCTCACCACTTAGGCCTGATTCCTTACCTTACTCTTTTTCTTATTTCCATATCATTTGCTTTTTACCTGCCTGGAATAAATACTCATTACCCCCGACTCCCGCACCTCCTTCAAGTCATTGCTAACACATCTCCTTCTCAATGAGGTCTACACTGACCACCCTGTTTCATACTACAACCACCTCACCACTTAGGCCTGATTCCTTACCTTACTCTTTTTCTTATTTCCATATCATTTATCAATCCCTAAAGAATGGTGTAATTTACTTGTATACTATAATTCATATACACTAGACTGCCAGATCCATGAGGGGAGCCAACTTTGTCTTATCCACTGATGTGTCCCAAATGCCTTGAGCAGGCCAGGCATACAGTAGGTGCTCAATAAACATATTCTAAGTGAATGAACAAGTAAGTGAACCAATAATGTATGTCTGAGTCAATACAGAATCCTAATCCTAATTGCACCTAGGAACATTTCTAGTATCCATTCCTTCTGCTTTGTACCTGCTCCTATCCTAATGATACTTTTATTACTTCACAACTGTTTACTTGCTATCCATCTGGTTTGCCCACAGACAAGCAACCCCCAGTATGGTGTTGCTCAGGTCACTTCCATGCCCACGGTGTAAATGCTCAACCTTTTCAGGGCCTCTCTGATCCCTCCCCTTGGTCTGGTTTTACTGTCTTCCTTCCCTTTGTGAGCCCCTCCCTCCTCTTCACTGTCCACCAACCCTGTCTGCACACTATAGCCTCTATCCCTTTGCACATAATGCATATTCTTACCCCAAGTGCCCCCCACTCCAATTCTTCTTCCCCTTTCCATCCTAGCTTAGTTCCCATTTCCTCTGCAAAAGCTTTCTTGACTCTCCAGTTCACGAGGGTCTCTCCATTCTGTACATTCACAGCACTTACAGTATAGACCCCACTCAACTGACACTCAACCCTATGTACCTTGTGGCAGTTCTTAGAGTATTATTTTACTGCATTTTGATATAACTCATGAATTGTTATGTGAAATTTCTATGGATAAGTCTGGTGCAAAGGGATATTTAATTTTTAATTGTGAGACTGCTATGTCTTCTCTCTCGAATTATATTACAGGTTCCCTGAAAGTGCAAATGGTGTCTTAGGCTTCCTTACATTTCTCATGGACTCACAGTGCTAGACACACAGCTGGTTGATAGAACGTATGTGCAGGGCAGTTGAATGATTTGGAATCCATATAGGGAGGAAGCTATGAATGCTAAGGCACTATGCTGAAGATAAAATGACCAAAGGAACAAAATACCAGTGGAATAACCGAAGGTTAAAAACAAAAACAAGGACTGTAAGGGGGCAGTTTTCTAGTTAGTTACTCTTCATTAGCTGTCATTTATGCGGCTGATAATTTGAAAATGTGTAGCACTAACTGACTTCAGTTCTTGTAACAAGGACTGTAAGGGGGCAGTTTTCTAGTTAGTTACTCTTCATTAACTGTCATTTATGCGGCTGATAATTTGAAAATGTGTAGCACTAACTGACTTCAGTTCTTGTAATCACATGGTTTTGTGCAGATTTTTTTTTTTCACTTTGAAAGAGGTAAAAAATGGTAGCTCTCCAGTGCAATAGAAGAAGCTTTAAGTCCAGCCCATTTTTCTTTTGCAGTGGAATGGACACAAGCATGTTCAAGGCCCCCGGACTACTCTGCATGGCCCAGGTTCAGGGAAAGGTGCTTATCTCAGGTGACCTTCAGGACTGAAAATGAGGGCACAGACTCTGGATATCAGTGTTAGCACTTTGCTCCATCCTGTCTTCCCCAGTTTCTTTCATTTATTTACCTGGCAGACAACTATTGATGCTTACTGTTGCCACTCTGGTCAGGGCTGGGTGTTTACAAAATCTTCTTTACCCTCATCACAACCCTCGAAGGTTCCCATTTTACAAATGAGGAACCTTGTTCAGAGAAGTTCAATAACTTGGCCAGGTTGTGGTTAGCAAATTGTAGGTCTGGGATTTGGATCTAGGAGCGTGTTGATGCCGAAGTCCTTGTTCTTTCCACTGGGTAGGCTGCCTCCCAGGTGCTCAGTGTTGATACAGACACAAAGAAACCAATGACCAAAAGTAATCTGATGAACACAATTGAACCACCATGACAATGCTGAGGAGCACAGCAGTGCATTAATGTTTTGTTAAAGAGATATTATTGAAATAGAAATGTGGACATAACCTAAGTGAATGAAACTTTCTGGAGAGATCTAAGTTCTCATCTCCTTCACTGATACTCGGAAGGAGGGTCCCAACCCCTTTCTTCTTCCAGAGATATCTAATCTAGTCATCTGGTTAAACCTCAGAATACTTTTCAGCTCAAGTACTACAAAGGGGTTCAAAGGTCAGGAAGGCCATGACAGTCATCTGTAAATTTCTTCCCCTCCATTGGGTTGGGTGGCCACAGTGAGAAATAAGTGCCTGCTGATTACATTCTGATGACCATCTTAAATGTACTAATCTTGTCATGACCCAACCTCAAATGTATGAATCAGTAGATGAGAATGTGTGATGAGTCAAGGCTAATTTCAAGACAAATGGCATAAAACTCAACCCCTTAAAATCCAAAAGACCATGTTTTGAGAGGGCAGGTGGTTCAGAGCTTGCATCTTTCCCAGCTATCAAAAAGTTTTACAACAATTACTAGATCCCATCACTGACCCAGGAAACTCAGGCCAATATACTCTGTCATCTGCCTGCATGTGTCTGCTTTAATAGTCCCAGCCATTACTCCATGTCACAGAGGCTAGTGAAAATAGTTCTTGCTTGATTACTAGACTATGAAAGAGATGGACTGCCATCAGATCCTCTTACCTAATAAAGTAATGATGCAATAATCAACTAATTCCCCAAATATGCAAGATACCAATACCTAAATGTAAAAAATCAAAAAAAGAATTTTAAAAATCTCATGTCATAGCAATATCAATGCAGTATCTTAATTATTTCGTTGTTTATTCTACTAAGCTACTGTTGCAATTAATGTAGTTCTACTTCAACACTCCTAGGTATTTGACAAAGCCATTTAAAGAGGCCCAGGAGCCAGAAGATCCAAGTGCAGGTACAGGCCAAGAAGGCCTCACTGCCAAACATCAGTCCTCTCATCTCTTTTAACTGGAGGTTCCTGCATGTTGACACATAAGGTCTGATCGCAAAAGTTTTACCCAAGAAAGTTATCTCCCAGTGACACTGTATTCATGGACACTCTCAAACTAGCATCAAGGAATACAGTTTGATGATGGCCCCCCCCTCCCATTGCTGTTTTACAGGCATGAAAGGTGTGTTTGTCACTTTGCTCAGCCTAAGTGGGGAGCCACAGAGAGGACTCCCAGTCCCAGTGCCCAGCTGTGGGCACAGTACTTTGCTTCAGTGGTCAAAACAGCGGAGGACAGGCCTCTGCTCTCCCTCCCACAAAGCAGGTCCTGACCCTTCTCTCCTAAGGGGTCACAATGAGTGAGAGGAGATCCACAGCATTCACACCAGACCACAGCACAGAGCAGCATTCGCAGTTAGCAAACCTGCTCCTCCTGGTTGGGAGCAAAAGTTTCCCTGACAGCTGGGGATTAAAACCAGGAAATGCAAGGGGAGGGAACATTCCAGGGTGAAATAAAAAACAAAAATAAAAATAAAAGAGAAAGAAAAAAAAAAAAAAGAAAAAAATTAAAAAAGAAAAAGAAAATGCACAAAGCCCATGAGGCGGGCTGGTTAACCATGGGTTAGAATCAGGTTTAGAGAATCACACGTTAACTCTGTGTCTCAGCAAATCCAAAAACCCCAGGGTGAAAGACATGTGGGTAAAAGCCATTTATATTTGTGGAAATTTCCCTCTTTCACCATTTATTCTCTTTTTCGCTTATTTCTTTGTTTTTGGTCTGTTTGTAACCCAAACTGGTTACCATTAATCACTTTTACCTGCCCAGCATTTTCATCCTTCCAGAGTCAAAGAGCAACAAATATGGGGTCCAAAGAACCCTTTCCCACAGCCAATTCCAACCAGCCCTTCTCTCCCAGGGTCACAGGGTGCTCAGAGCAGACACTGTCAGCCGGACATGCCACACAAAGCAAGCCACCAAACCAGACTGCGTTTAAAGGACTTCTAGGCGACTTACTTGTACTTGTGCTGGTTCCAATCGTATTGATTGTGGTGGGGACGGATGAGGAGGAGTAGAGGGGCACATGGCCATTCTCACACCCCAGGCTTTTGTCCTGCCAGTTGGAGGCGTTGATGCAAATCCCAGAATCCCGAGAGTTTTGCCACCCATTGAGCTTGTCATCGGAGTTTTGTCTTTGGTGATAGTAGTGCGTCTGCCCATAATCCACAGAGTCCGAGCGGCCTCGGTTCTGGCTGCCAAAGCTGGTCGATGTGCGGTCCTCCAAGTGATTCAGCCACATGGCTAAAGCACTGCGGTCTTCCAACGAAGTGGCTGGATGGATCAAAGCATAGGAAAGCAGCTGCCTGCTCTCCTCGATGTGCTGGTTGTGTTCAATAGAGTGTGCCAGGATTTTGGGCAGCAGTTTCATATACTCTACTTTTGCATCGAGGTTTCCTGGCTTCAGCAAAGGCAGGTGAGTTAACAGGAGGGAAATCACTTTATCCTTGGATTCCTGTTGCCATTGGTTAATGATTCCTGAGAAGGAAAATATACAGGGCAAATGAGCAAATACACCCACAAAGACACTAAACACCACATGCTAAGGAGAACTTCTGTGGATTAGATTCCCAGTCTATGCACCCTGGCTAAATTTTCTCCAAACAGCCTGTGCACTGGATTGGATAACTGGCCTCAGGCTTCTAGGGTCCAGGGACTTCAGTGAAACACAGATCAAACATTCTTACATGTCTGGGTGCTCAATCTAATTCTCATTCACGTCTCCAAAGAGGCAATGACTATTTTGGTACAAACAAATGGAATTCACAGCCATGCTTTTCTTAGAAAAGTCTAGCCCCACCCCCAGATAGACAGAGGACTAAGACTAAGAAACTCCATAGAAAAGTGCATGTAACAAGGGTCCACCTGCCAGAGTCCTTGGGGTGAGGCTGCCTCCCCTCACCCAGACATCTATTGAAAAGTGACTCAAATCCTGGCAAAGGCATTTGTATAAAATTGGTAAAACTCCCTAGATGGAGAAATCTGTCAGGAAAAACAGGACTCCCCTCATGTGGTTGGGTAAACGTGCACCTTTCTCCTAAGAAGCTGATTCAGAGGAACCACTGTGGGGTCAAAGGAGGAATTAGCAAGCATCCAACACTCTGCTCCAGGTGCACTGCTGGTCACACAGGATAAGTAGGCTGTTTTTCTTTATGTGAGGATCTGTTTTCTTTTTTTTAAAAAAAATTGTGGTAAAATACACATAATATTGACCATTTTTAACCATTTTAAGTGTACGGTTCAGTGGCATTGAGTACACTCACCATGATGTACAACCATCACCACCATCCATCCCTAGACCTTCATCTTCCCAAACTGAAATTCTGTCCCCATTGAACAATTCTCCACTGCCCCCTCCCCCTAGCCCCTGGAAACCACCATTCTATTTTTTCTCTCTGAGTCTGACTATTCTAGGTACATCAGAGAAGTGGAATCATAATTGTCCTTTTGTGACACTGTCTTATTTCACTGAGCATAATGTCCTCAAGTTTCATTCATGTGAAGATTTGTTTTTAACACAATCACAAGGATCCCTCTGTCCCCCCCCCCCAACTAAAAATCTAAACAATGCACTTTGTGTTGATTGGCTTTCGAGAAGTATCTTGTTCTGGAGGTTGATAGTTATCCATGGGTTCTGGGACCACAGCATAAGAAACTCCCTTCCAGAAAAGTCATCCCTGAAACCTGGAGACCTCACCTCTGGTCCACTGATGATGCTAAAGGGCTAGAGCTGGGCAGTCCTGGCTTTCACACAATATCTGCAGGGGTGGAAGGGGTTTCTAGAATTTAGCAGAAGGGCTTCATAATTCAAGCTAGGAACAAACATAACAGAACAAGCCTAAGGGTCACTGTTGACCATAAGCTACAAATGCATCAGGCTGTACTGCAAGGCCTCTCAAGAGCACAGGAAAGAACACTTTCAAAAAAAGTATGAGCATAAGAGGGATGGTGTATCATGAACGAGCGTGGGCGTTGGAATCAGGCAAACCTGTGTACCAACCCCAGGTCTGCCACTTAACTTGTGGTGGGATCTTGGTAAGTTACTTAACGTCTCTGAGCTGCTTCTGTCTCTCCAGTCAAGAGCGGTACAAACAGCACTTGTGCCTCCTTGTGCTTTTGGATTAAATGAGGTAAAGTATCAAAAGGACCAGTCAAGTACTTGGTGGAAGTAACTTCTACCGGTCTCTGCATTAGGCAGACCCACATTAAAGTGATGTGGGTGGTTTTGGATACCACGTTTTAAAAGTAATATAGAGAAATCAGAGAATGATGCAGGGAAAGTCATTAAAAATTACCAAAGAGTTGGAAAAGAGCTAGAAAGTCAAAAGGTGAAAGAAAATGGAGTTATTGTGTTTACAACAATAGGAAAAGACGTTCACTCTCTTCAAGTGGGGATTTCATCAGGTGACGCTGAAGAGTCAACTTTTTAAAGTAGAAGCCTCCGAACCGAGGCAGGAGAGATTAAGATAGGATGAGGTGAAGAACTGAGCTGCCAGAATAATAAAAGACTCAGAGTCGCCAAGGAAGCCTCTAGAATCTCTGTGCTAGGGATTTGTATAATAGAGCTAGATGGTCTGGAGCAGCACCATCCAAAAGTAATATAATGTGAGCCATGTGTGGAATTTTAAACTTTCTAGTAGCCACATGAAAGAGTAAAAAGAACAAGGTGGAATTAATTCTAGTATTTTATTCAACCCAATATATCAAAATATTATCATTTCAACATGTATTTAATATAAAATTATTAATCAGATATTTTTCCATCTTTTTTATGTGTTAAGTCTTCAACATCCAGGGTGTATTTCATCACTGACAGCACATGTCAACCTGGCCTAGCCACAGCTGAAGTGCTCTGAAGCCATATGTGGCTGGTGGCTACTGAAACGGCTAGCACAGGGCTGGAGACACTCGGATGGGAAGGCAGGCAGGAGGGCACAGATGACCTCAGCAGGTCCCTCCTTGTTCCCTGACTCTATATTTAGCTAACTGCCACCTGACACAAGACAACCCTCGAGCATTCCCCTAGGTATAGCCTTCCTTTTAAAGTAGCTCTGAAAATGAAGAAAACACCAAATCTAACTTTCTCATCGGTATGTTTTCAGCAAATAACAGGCATGATTTAAATGATAAATATGCTTAGAATAAAGATAAAATCTGTTCTTTAGGCTCAAGAGGCACTGGAAAGAAGCAAAAGGGGCTGAGAGGAAGATAAACCTATGTCATAAGCCAATACTAATCAAAGGAAGCTAATGTACACCCTTGAAAATGTACATTTAAAAATAAAATGTGGGTATAATCTTTAATAAGAATTTACAAGGAGGAAGAATTCCTGTTTCTGCTAGGTCATTTCCCTGTCTGGATATTCTACCCTTCTGCAAAAGGTCAGCCATGAAAAAAAATTCAGGAACAAAAAACGTAAATAGGACTCAGAGTGCAAACCAAACATGTCATCTCCACGAAACTGCTCTCGGCCAGGGATTAACCTGGGATTCAGAGGAGAGAAAAGCACAGCGAAGAGGAAGGAAAACCAGAGGCCGCTGGCCCGGGTCCCTTCCAGGCTGAAACAGTTCTTTCTCTATCCTCGGGACAGGACTTGGATGGTGCAGGGCTGTGGTGCAGCCAGGAAGACAACAATGGCTTTTGTTTACTACCACTGGGAACATGGAAATAAGGTTGTTTTCTGACGGCCAACTACACCTACTGGACCAAACTGTTTCTGCCACTGCTACAGAGGCCACTGCTGATAGCTAACAGCTCTGAATGTTTTCTATGTGCCAGGCACTCTTCTAAGCCCTGTGCACTTAATTACTCATTTAATCCTCCCAAGAAGCTTATGAGGAAGATCCTGTGACTAGCTTTATTTTACAGATGAGGACACAGAGGGATAGACGGGGCAAGTAACTTGCCCCAAGTCCCCTGGCTAGTGAGGTGGCAGAATGAAGGTAGGCAAATCAGCTTCAAGATACATAATGGCTGTCATGCTAGAACGGCTTGGCCACAGCTAAACATGTTAATATTTATAATACACAACTGCATATTACATAATTATATAATCACACATATAATTATATATAAATATGGATAAATACGTAATAGTGATATATATAATAATACAAATATATTAATAGAGTACATGGGTCAGCAGAGGAGTTGGTCAGCCACGGAACTGTAAGAAAAAGGAGTTACATAGACAATGTAGGTGACAACTACTGTGGTTCTAAAATACGTTCACAATTTCTTTGCCACTCCTCTCTTTAAAAGGTAGAGCCTAATTCTCTTCCTTTTGAGTGCAGGCTGGATTTAGTGAGTCACATCCAGCAAATAGAATGTAGTGGAAATGACCGTGTCTGACTTCATGGATAAGGTTATAAAAGGCATCATAGCTTTTGCCCTGCTCTTTCTTGGGTTACTTACGCATGCTGGGGGAAGCCAGCTGCCATGTTGTGAGGTTACTCAAGCAACTTAATGGGGAGGTCCTTGTGGGGGAGAACTGAGGCCCCCTGCCAACTCACCAGTCATGTGAGGGAACCATCTTGGAAACATATCTCTCAGCCCAGTTAATCATTCAGATGACCGCAACCCCAGACAGCATTTTGAGGAACCCTGAGCCAGAATCACTCATATTCCTGATCCACAGCAACTATGTTGGTAACACGTTTATTGTTTAAAGCTGTTAAGTTTTGAGTAATTTGTTATGTGGCCAAAGGTAACTAATACACTATCCAAGTGCCCCTCCAGGAAAAAGAAAGTTTTCACCATTTGGCTTTGAATAGCTCAGTCCTTCTGGCAAAGTCGTTCCCATTCTGAGATGACCCATGAAGCTAACCTGTTGCCCCTAAACATTCACCTCACTTAGCCGCCCTGGTCCTGATTACACACTCACCAAACAACCTTTAGACTATGCTCTAGCTCCCCAGGCATCTTCAGAGAGAGAATAAACTGTTCATACAGACTTGAGGTATTTCCAGATTCTGTGATTACGACTTTTCAGGGCAACTTAATAAATGGCTTCTGATTATGATTTGGCTTCCTGTGGAGGCCTACGTACAGGGAGAATGTGTGCTGATTATACGGACTTTGAGTACGTCTGGTCTCTCTGATGATGGCTCCTCATGGCACATTAACAATCCAGCATTGCAGGGTCTACCTCCCTGCTCTCTACTTAGTATGAGTCAGTCTCTCAGGATGAGCATCCCCAGGACACTGATGAGTGTGAGTGTCTCCGCCTTCAAATAGAAGCCAGATCCTGCATGCGGGGACTTGCTACACACCGGTTAGGTCCTGCTTTTGTGGCAGGCTTTTTCTGTGACATCCATACCACCTTCCAGAGAGCAAAGGAATCTTTGCTGAGATTGTATTAAACAGATTCTCCTCCTTTGGGAAGACCCAGGAATCCACATAATTTTCAATTAATTGACTACTTCTGAGACACAGTCTCTACCATTACCCACCCCACTATCACCCTGTTCAGGAAA